TGATATATATATATATATATATATATATATATATATATATATATATATATATATATATATATATATATATATAGTGTTTGGGCTATTGATCCATCTTGGGCTAAGTTTTATGTAAGTATCCATGAAGAGTTAGCCCACATGAGATATTGATCGTAACCTAAGTGTATGGATTAGGGTTTACCCATGACCCTTGGAATCCTACACTATATAAATGATACCCCTTAGACAAAATCGGAGCACCTAAGCATTCTAAGAGAATCATAACCGATTTGGGTGGTGCTTAACCTCTCTCTCAAAGTCCACCTTTATTCATGGTGTTTGTGAACCATTTGAGGCATCACACTTGAGGTGCTAAGCTCTTGAAAGGCCAAGAACTACAAATTACATCAAAAGGTATTCATCTAACTTGATTTTATATGGTATATCCTCTATTGTATGCTAGTTAGTATGTATGCTTTGGAAAATTGAAAATGCATGTATAATTAGAGAAAACATAGATCCAAAGCATCTAGGGTTGCATGTGCATCATAGGAGTGTTATAGTGCTTAAAACCCAACAGTATGTTCTAGTATATATGTTGTTGTCGGTGTTTGTGTTGTTGTATGAGCCATATTTGGCCGGAAAACCAATGAAGGCCCGCCACCACCACCGTGAGGTGGTGGTTGCTACCTAATGCTGCCATTCTGCCACCGCCACCACCACTGTGTGCATTTGGGTGCGTCTGGACTGTTGTTTGGAGTACTTTTGGTATTGTTTTGGCCTAAAAACACAACCACCACCACCACGAGCTGGTGGCTGCCGCCGCCGTGGAGCGCCGTTGACCACCACCGCCCGAGGTGGTAGTGGGTGGTGTCCGGCTTATTAGATGCTAATTAACCTAAAAGCTTAACCTTATGGATCTAGTTGGCATGTGTGGGGTTGGAAACCCTAATTAGGGTTTAGAAAACCCTAATCTTGGAGATTTTAGTTTGAACTTGTCGGGAACCGCGTTTTGGACCATTGGATTGAATCTGTGGCTTATGCCCGACTACATGGTATGATTGGTCTAGTGGAGTGATGGACTTAATGGATTAAGTCTTTAATGGGTTAAGTAAGAACACTTAACCCTAATCATTATTTTATGTAAAAACCCTAATTATGATTGGGCTTAAAGTTGGGCCCTTCTTTTGCGCTTAGGTGTTTGGGCTCTTGTTGGGCCATCTAAGAACAAGTGTATGGACTATGATATTTGGATAGGCCTTAGGGTAAGGCCCATGTAACGCGTTTGGGCCCAATTTGGAAAATTGGGCAATAATTTGGCCTTGATTGATTATTTGGCTTTTAGGCCTTCAGAGTATGAGTTTAGGCCTTGGTCTTGGACCAAGCTAGGTTAGGGGTACAATGGTCTTTTACCCCAAATGTGTATTTATGGTTATGCATCGAAACCCAACTTGTTAATTGGGTTTATTTTGATGTTGACAGTTCGTGAATCTGTCAGCCAGCAGCCAGAGATCGTCTGCATGATTCAGTAGTGCGAGTTGAGTCTCTTCACTATGTTTAGCAGGTCGAAGGCACCAATGCCGACCCATGGTTATTATGTTAGGATGTCAGTTGTCTGCGTGACCCTGGCATGTGTTTGTATTGATATGTATGTTAATTATTATTTTATATGCTAGTATCAGGTTATGCATATATGACTTGTATGTGGGCGGGGCCCGTTGATTGTGTTGTATGCTATTATCTTTGTGATTTTTTCATGTGTTGAAATGTTTATATGATTATATGTATGTGAGTATGGGCGGAGCCCGTATCTTATCATTATTCGAGTGTGGGCGGGGCCCGTATCTCATCATTAGCTGAGTGTGGGCGGGGTTCGTGTCTCATCATTACTTGTGTATGGTTATTGGTATGTTTGGAAGGTTGTGTACTTGTTGTCTGTGTGGTACTTGTATGTGTTTGTTTATGTACGTGAGTGTGGGCGGGGGCCGTATCTCATTATTATTTGAGTGTGGACGGGGCCTGTATCTCATGATTAGCTGACTGTGGAAGGGGACCGTATCTCACAGAGTGTGGGTGGGCCCCATATTTCTTAGTTAGCTGAGAGTGGTCGGGGCCCGTAACTTACAGAGCGTGGGCGAGGCTTGTATTTCATAGGGCGGGGTCCGTTATTCGAGTGTGGGCGAGGCCCGTATCTATTTGAGTGTGGGCGGGGCTTGTACCTCCTAGTTGCATGTTATGTGTATGGTAGGTGGTAGTTTGGGGGAAACTCACTAAGCTTCGTGTTTACGGTTTTCAGTTTTGGTTTCAGGTGCTTCGGTTTTATAAAAAAGAAGAGCTCGGGATGATTGCAAAGCACACACCATATGTTTCCGCCTTGGATGTTTTACTCTGATTTTACAGAAATTGATACAGTGGTTTTACGTATATGTTTGGATGTCATTGATAAATACTGTTTTATCTATTATTAAAAATGAAATTTTTGGGACCATATTTTGGATGTTACAACACAACACAAAAGAGTCGTTAAAGGACGACCGGGGGTTCTCCCGGGACGTCACTCCGACGATCAAGTTAGCTTTATTTCTGAGAGAGATTTAGGTAAAATTGTATAGGGAAGAAGATGATCCCCTTCCTTGGGCAGGAAGGGATCCTTTTATACCTGTTGCTAACGGAATGGGGGTGACTCTCCCCATGTGGGAGTAAGACGTGGCACTTTCCTACTGGGAGAAGTACGCTCATGCCGTCTAACAACCATGTGACGTCAATTCTGGGCGTCATCAAGCTCTTTGTCATGAACTGATTGGTCATGAGAGAATGAGAGGATCACAAGGAATATTCTTCCTCGTGGGGGAAAGTGAGTTGTCATCTTGGCGCTGGCCTGTCCGGGCTAAGACTGAGACCCGACCAAGGCCCTGGGGAGATAACGTTCCGTCAGTGCTTTGACTTCTTTCTGTCAGATTTAATGTGGTCGCATACGGTAACGTTAACACCAACTACCTCTCCGAAATAACATTATGGAATCTTTGTTCTTGGAAAAAATGATAGTCGACAGTGAAGATATTGTGGTTTTACGGGTATGTTCTTGCTTCATTTACTAATATCTTTCATTATGGTGAAAGAATTTTAAACACTTATGAAATATAGTGTAACTTCCCAATTTTCAGAATAAAATTTTCATTTTTAAATTAAAAAATATATACATTTTCATAAAAATATGTTCAAGGCAAACCCTTTATTTGTAAACCGTAGTTCAAAATCAAAATTATAAAGAAAAGTATCGTCAAATCTCAATTCATTGAACTTCTTATGAGTGTGTACAGTCATGCCTTCGCCTTTCCACAAATTGATAAAGTACATGAAATACATTTAATCCATAACTATAAGCCAAAATTTTGTGAGTTCCCTATGCATCACATATAACTATACATAACAACAACAAGTCCGTAACAACCTCGGCTCTGTACCAACCCCGAGTCTGTATCGACTCAATAATATGTTTCAACCGAGCGGGTCCGCATCAACCCCAAATTCGTATTGACTTGGCAGAACATACATACATGCAAGTATCAACTAAGACTTAGCTAATCTACCATACCATCATAGCACAATTACTATGACCCACATAACACAGTGAGAAAACTCACATGAGTCAACCAGTAGAAGCTCAACACAAACCTCAACAACAGAACAGCTAAGACAAGCTACCTAATGCCAAACTGAGACTAATCCTTAGTCAAAATACTCAATTCTACCCAGGTTTGGCCAAAACTCAAACTGGTAAAAAAGTTAACGGTCATCAGTTAAAGGTTCACCACGACATTGCAAACCTTTGAAACTTGTATTGAATGATTAGCTTTCAAACACAATCAAGTAAGATACTTCTATAATATGTTATACAACTCTGTTTCCAATTCCAGCACTAAAACACCTATAATGCTTTATTTTTAGCTTCCAGGGGTATTTTACTATGCACAGAAAGTTGTGTTTCATCCAATAGCTCCCCATTTAAAAAATTTACAGTTATGATTCTGTCTAGTTCTAGTCTGCGTCACATACGAGGAGAAAACTAAAAAATTAACATTCTTGGTCAGCTGAAAATTTCAAGGATAAGCAACTAAGATGTAATTTGTATATCGTGTTCTTCAATTGCCTTCTCTTTAGGTTACTTAAAATTGAAATGAAAGTTTTCTTCATTTCTTCATATTATTTTCTATTTTATCTACCAAATATTTATCTATAAGGTTTTTAGGCCCATTGACCCAAATGGTGTAGCCTTGATGTAAATAAGTTGTTATTACGGATAAAAGTAAAAGTACATCGTCCATATAAGTTAAAAAATTAAAGTGTGTTGCTATTTGATGCAATCTTGCCTTATTTAGTTGACTCAACAAACATTAGGTTTGATTGGTTATTTGTGTATTATTGAACAACTATGGATTGTTCTCGAGGGTTTTAACGAGTTTAGCAATTTCATTGGCTTTGTGTATTACTCGGATGGTGAACCTACAAAGGACCTGACAATGGAACTAATTGAAAATGTATGTTACATTACCGAAAAATAACAACCTACTTTCTAATTTAAGAAATGACAATATACTTTTAATATAAAATGCCTTAATAGGAAATTTTCTTTAGAAAGATGCATTGGCTTGGTTTTAGAATCTACGATAACATTAACCAAAAAAATACAAAAAAACAACAGAAATCATCAACCCATTGCGAAGCACGAAAAAACCCACTAATTCATATAAACATATCAAATTATTACATTTTTTTTAGAACGGCAAATCTACACTACTCCTAATACCACATATATCTCCAATGAGACTTGAACCCTCAACCTTTAAGAGGGAGGACAACACCCGATGCCGCTAGGCTAGAAGCCCTTTGGTATCAAATTATTACATAAAAGGATACTTCATTGGACAAGTGGTTTTGTTGTGCAACTCTACTTATCCAATCCTTTTAAATTTGGGCCTAACGAACCCGGCCCATGTTTCTCGGATCTATCTACCTGTTGGAGTGTTGTCCATAACCAATTTTCTGCAGGAGAAGAACAAGACTGGGAGACCAAACACTCACTGATACCTTCCCCAATTTCTAAACTCAGAAACCCTAATCATCTAATTTCACACTTTTAGTTCTCCATCTCCGAATTATCATCGACAATGGCTTCCGATTCAAGTTCCGCATCATCATCATCCGACGAAGACGAGGAATCTGCCGGCCAAAAACCTAACGTTGACGTTAACATCAATTCGATAGATAACTCCCTAGACGCCATCGAGAATCAGTTGTCATCGATCGCATTGAACACTCCAATTGACGAACGAACTTTACCATCTACTGATTATCATCAAGAACCGGTCTCGGAGATTGATGATGGATCGTCGAGGGAAAGTGCAAGCGAGATGCGGAGAAACTCGATTGGTGAGAGTAGTTCATCAAGGGGATCGGGGTTGTGGAGGAACAATTTGGGAGTGGAGGTTGAGGTGGAACCGGAAGCGGATGGGGAATTGTCAAGCCCTAGTAGCAGTGGGTACGCCGGTGAGAGAGGTAGTAGCAGTAGTCCCACTAGTGCTTGTGGAACTGATGTAATACGGGAACTTCGAGACAACGGTTCTTCCATCGGTGATGATGGAGCGGTGCCCTTGGATCCTTCTCAAACACAATGGATTCGTGGTAAACAGCATGCTGATGAGGTGATACTTCTAGGCATGCATATATTTTTCCTCAATTTTAGGATATGATAACTTATTTCAACAAAGTCTGATAGAAAACGAGCCATGGGGATTTAAAATTTGCCGTTTGTGATGCATTTCAACTGATAATGGATATGCAGGATGATGGTTCTATCTCATGGAGGAAAAGGAAGAAACATTTCTTTGTTTTGAGTCATTCCGGAAAACCAATATATTCAAGGTATGCCTCAGTCAATATCTATGATGTGTATATTCAATTTGGGAGTATAGCTAAACATCTAATGCATCTTTTCACCATTTTTTGGGTTATAAGAATATTCATTGAAAGATTCTATCTTGTTAATGAGTTGATGTCATTTGCTTCATGAATCAAATCAAATAGATATAGATTATAGAGTGAATCATACCATCTGAATCAACTTTCAGATATGGAGATGAGCACAAACTAGCAGGATTTTCAGCAACTTTGCAAGCCATCATTTCCTTTGTGGAAAATGGGTAAATATATTAACATCTATTAGCTATGTAATCACATTTACTCCTATTAGTTACACTCTCATTCTTTTCCTAACTTTTTTAAAAACAAAAGTAGTGATCAAATAGTTTCTTTCATTTATCTATTTCAGGGGAGACCGTGTTAAATTGGTCAGAGCAGGAAAACACCAGGTCAGTAATAAAAAGACATGATATTTTCCACTTTTATTATTTTCCAACATGTATAAGACTTTGAGTAAATCATATAGAAAATAAATAAGGACTCTTTTATTCATTTTCTGGTTTACAGGTGGTTTTTCTTGTGAAAGGACCAATTTATTTAGTTTGCATAAGTTGTACAGAAGAGCCTTATGAGTCACTAAGAGGACAACTTGAACTTCTTTATGGTCAGGTAATAGTTTCTTTAAGATTTTAACCTAATTATCTACTCTTAATTATTATTTATTATTATAATCCAATTATATTTCTGCAGATGATACTTATTCTCACAAGATCTATCGATAAATGTTTTGAAAAAAACTCTAAATTCGACATGACTCCTCTGCTTGGAGGGACAGACGCCGTCTTTTCTTCTCTCATCCACTCTTTCAGCTGGTCTGGTTTCTCATTAAACCAAGGGCATAATCGTCATTCTTGAATCTTGATGATTTTAACTGAATCTTTATTAAATTATTCAGGAACCCTGCAACTTTTCTTCATGCATACACTTGTCTTCCACTTGCTTACACCACAAGGCAAACTGCTTGTGCCATTTTGCAAGATGTTGCTGATACAGGTGTCCTTTTTGCAATATTGATGTGTAAAAACAAGGTTTTTCATCCAACCATCTTCTTAATTTTACAATTATTCCATTTTTTTATTCATTTTGTGGTGTATAAATATATAATTCTTAGAAGTTAGAGCTAAATTTCAGGTTATCAGTTTGGTAGGCTTGCAGAAAGCATCACTTCATCCTGATGACATGTTGCTTCTTTCCAACTTTGTCATGTCTTCAGAATCCTTTAGGCAAGTGCCTTTTTTTTTTATAATATTAATGGAAATTTTTATTATTTATATAATTATATGGTATTGATATATTATTATATTTGCAGGACATCTGAATCTTTTTCACCAATATGTCTGCCAAGATACAACTCCATGGCATTTTTATATGCTTATGTACATTATCTTGATGTAAGTTTTTTTCATTAAAAAAATTACTTATTATTATTATTATTTTTTTGCTTATAAATTATATAACATATTTCACAGGTTGATACGTACTTAACGTTGCTGACTACAAGTTCACAAGCGTTTTTCCATCTTAAAGAATGCAGGCATGATGACGTGGCCTTTCCTTTTCCTTTTCCTTTTCCTTTTCTTTTTTTAATAAATAATAATAAATTAGTAAATTACATTATGAAAGTAATTTTTATAGGATACAAATTGAAGCTGTTCTTGCAAAATCAAATGTTTTGAATGAAGTTGAAAGATCATTATCAGAAGGTGGCATGCGAATTGAGGATTTACCTGTTGACCCGTCTGCTAATTCTGGATCTTTATTTCATTTGACTCATCGCAAAACACCAACCAATGGAACAGTGACAGGTGTCGGTGGTCCAGCTGGACTTTGGCATTTTATTTACCGGAGTATCTATCTGGATCAATACGTGTCTTCTGAGTTTGCTTCTCCAATCAGTCATCCACATCAGCAAAAAAGGTTTTTTTTTTTTTTTTTTATAATTTATATGTTTTAGTTTTTAATAAATTGAAATTTTGAATTGGTTTGTTTTTGAAATTTGAAGGTTGTATAGGGCATACCAGAGACTTTATGCTTCGATGCATGATAAAGGAGTGGGCCCACATAAAACTCAATTCAGAAGAGATGAAAATTATGGTAATTTATGTAGTTTAAAATTAATTATTCATTTTTGATTTTTTGATATTGGGTTAATATTTTTTATACTTGTGTTGCAGTTTTATTGTGTTGGGTTACACAGGATTTTGAGCTTTATGCAGCTTTTGATCCACTTGCAGACAAGGTTTGATTTATTTAACTTATCAAAAAGAAAAGAAACAACAAATTTTCTTTTTTTTATTTTTTAAATTAAAAACAGAGTTTGTTGTTGGATGCAGGGTGTGGCAATAAGAATATGCAACAGGGTGTGTCAGTGGGTGAAAGATGTGGAAAATGAAATATTTTTGTTGGGAGCAACCCCTTTTTCATGGTGATCTTCCTTTACTTTACTTTTTACTTTTTACAAAAATAATAAATGTAGTCAAAAAGTTTTTATAACACATAACACATCATGTATCATGTATTTGTTTTAGAGAGAAAGAGAGGTTTGACACGTAGTCGTCACATTGATGTACAACTTGTTTTGTTTTTCACATTTTCTCATTCAAAATAACTTGTTGCTTTTACCTGTGTTGTTTTTTCTACTTATCTTTAAGGTTTCTTAGCTCTTTATTTTTAGATTAAAAGAAATCGTAAGCAAGATGCAACAAGATTTGTTTACTAAACACAACCAATGAACATATCTACATCAAAAATCGATCATTAACTATCACTAGACACTAGCTTAAAATATGACTAACACATTGGTTCAATCTTATGATCGCATTCAAGTGTGTTTTTGAATGGAACCATTCAAGTGTGCGGTTGATATAGCCTCTCTAAACGGTTAAGGATTCTACCTTTTCTTATGTCTTAACCATTTGGGTTGTAATTATGTAGTTTTATCAAACATATTAGTTGTATATAATTTTGACAAAATTGCAAGAATGGTCCTTGTGGTTAGGTGGAAATTGTCACTTTGGGCCAAAAAGGTTTGGGCTAGCACTCGTGGTCCACAAGTTTTCATTTTGTTGCGAGTTTGGTCCATTTGTCTTGATTTTTTTATAAAATGACGATTTTACCCTTTGTTTTTTCTTTTTTCAGTTTTTTTATTATAAAAATTAAAAAAGGAAAAAGAAAAAAAGAAAGTACCCCTCCATACTCTCTCTCTCTCTCTCTCTCTCTCGTTCTTGATTTTGATCTCCGACGAAGAAAGGAGGCTGCCGACCACCACCTTCGCAGCCCCTCCCTGCCTCTCTCCGGTCGTGTAGGACCACCAAACACCCATCCCTTCACCCCCCTATCTCCGACAAATCGACCCCACTTGTCCTCCTCCAGCACCGACTCAACCTCCAAATCGACCACCATTTGAACCCTTAGTCTTCATCTTGCCATCACAGATCCACCTGCAACTTGAGAACACGAAGGAAAAAGAGGAAAAAACTCTAAAAAACGATTATCATTGTAAAACCCTTTGTGCGTATATGTGTTCATCCCTCCAAACACACACACCCACACACACATAAAATTCCTTTTATCACATCAAGATTCAAGAACAAAAATCGGACATAGAAATCGACCAATCGAAGTCATCCTGAAACTCTTAACCTATTCAGTTTGCTAGAGGTGGTGGTGACGAATCAGATCTTAAAACCAAGCCGAGGAACAATCCCATCTTCGGGAGGCTGTCAAACTCTGGCAGATTGCCATGACCACCACTGCCTTTACCACCAGACTTCTCTTCCTCCATCGGCAGCTCAATGGTTACAGAAAAAAAAACAGAGGTTGGCGTCGTGGTTTTTTTTATAGGGGAAAGGTTGGTCTGTAAATTTTGTTTCTGATTGAAGAAAGAAATTAGGAACTGTAAATCTAATTGGATCTGTTATATTGTTTTCTTATACTGATTGAAGAAAGAAATTAAAAGGGTGTTCTATTAATTGAAGAACCCTAAATCTAACTGTATTTGTCGATTACTTTCTGGGGATGATGAAGAAGTTGCAGGTGAAGGATTTTGAATAAGAAAATGGGGGTAGGTGGGTTATGATGAAAAACAACGAAGAGAGAGAGAGAGAGAGAGAGAGAGAGAGAGAGAGAGAGTGAGTGTGAGAGAGAGTGGAGGATTACTTTTTTTTTCTTTTTTCTTTTTTAATTTTTATAATAAAAAAACTGAAAAAAGAAAAAACAAAGGGTAAAATCGTCATTTTATAAAAAAATCAAGACAAATGGACCAAACTCGCAACAAAATCAAAACTTGTGGACCACGAGTGCTAGCCCAAACTTTTTTGGCCCAAAGTGACAATTTCCACCTAACCCCATGGACTATTCTTGCAATTTTGTCTATAATTTTTTGTTTACGGGTTTCTTCTTAGGACCTAAAATTCTATTTCTATCTCATTTCATTATTACAAATTAATGATTTCATCTTGTGGTCGCATGATCACATCCAAGTTTTTTTTCATCCCCATACATCGATACATCACATTCTTCTTTTCATTTATACGTTTAAATAAAAAGATTTATATCAATGGCATATGGCATTCTTATATTTCTAGAATCACATTACTTTTTCTTTTTGTCTTATATTAGCTCAACTATAGGTAATACCTGTTAAAAATTATATGAGTTTGTAGGATAGTTTTTATCACCGATCTGATCCATTAATAACCCGCCCCACATAAACGTTAGAATTATACATTTATATTTTATACAACATAAAGTTTAATTTTAATTTCAATCGAAAGTCCAAAGACCAATCTATTTTTACATAGGACTCGAAGAGTCGACTACTAGATTTTTAGTCTTCTACCAAGAATCATGATGTCATTTCATTTTTATTTCATCAAGCAACCATCAATTTCATTTATAAATCAATAAACTCATTAATCAACAACAATAAAGTTTGCAATTGTTATTCTCTATTAATGCAATCGATAGTCAAAAATCAATCAAAAGTAACTATAATAGTGATTTTAATTCCAATCGAAAGTCCTTGAGTACGTAATCCGTTTCCTAAATAAACATTTAATTTATTTAAGAAATGTTATTTTAAGAATTAAGTAAAATGTGTTTGATCATTTAAAATAATGTGGGTTACGGGGCGAGTTTGAATATCCATTGATTTGATGGATAAGGGTATGTGTTTGATTATTCAAAACCTTGCGGGTTACGAAGCGGATTGGAATCAGATTTTGAAATTTGTTATAAAGTTTTGGATCAAGATTGTTTCGCTCCAAACCCGCCTCATGGTCATGTCTACCTGTATTCTATGGATCTATCAAAATATTATCTTAATCTTCCTGTATTCTATCAATCTATCAAATATATGATCTTTCTATAGTCCTATTGTAGTCTCTATGTTTGATAAAGAAAATTATCTTAGTATAACTTTATTGTATTATATCTATTTTTGATTGACGGATGACATTATCTTAATGTGAGCATATTGTATTCTCTCTTCCCTTTATTTATTTTATTTTATTTTTTACTTTTTTTTTTTTTTAAATATTCATTCTATTTGACACGAAGGATAGTATTATCGTATTGTATCATCTTTGTCTGAAAGTGGATATAATCTTACTGCATTTTGTCAATTAACTAATTATGATGATAACCGATTACCTCACGATTATGATTAATATAAAATTTTCAGATATCTATTAAAAACCTTTATTTATATATGTATGTGACAAAATTCTCTTTCTTATACTTAACATTGTCTCCCATATGTATAACAACATCATTGTTGCACAAATTTACATATTTTTTAGGAATTCCTTGAAATATGTTCATATCCTCCCAAATTTCAAAAAAATTATCAACTCGACTTTAGGCGAATTTCAACACATAAAATAAAACCAATACCACATTTGCATTTGGATCTTTAAATATGTAAGCATATCACAAAATTTCAACACAAACTTTCCACATCTTCATTAAGATACAAACTAAAACAATCCACAAGCCAAACACGCATATATACATTGATGATGAATCCCCAACATCCATGCGGTTTTATATTTTTTAAAAACAAATGTAAACCACAATAACCTAAAAAATACTTAAAAAAGACAATCTACACAGCCAAACAAGACTCAAAAAAAGTATCAAATCAATGGTTTATTTCACCATAATTCCCAGCTAACGAGAAGACAATGACCAGAAATTGAGAAGAAATGAAGGCAATGCAGTAAACCAGCTAAGAAAAGCAAAAGCAGTAGCAGTTTCAAACTGCTTGCAGTGATTTTGAGCACAAAGTCCAAGATCATTACCTATAAGAACTGTAATTCCAGCAGATGCACATGCAGCAGCAAATGTAAGTGTAGATGTCACCTGAAAAGTTTAAACAAAGTGTAGATGATCATCAATCTGACTTTTTTTTAAAGAAAAGTAGAGATATAATCATATAAGAAGTAAGAAGTTGTTCTTACCCCATCACCTATGGAAAAGAGACTAACAACTCTGTAATTCTGTAAGGTTCGTCCAACCAATAGAGCATGGATGTCAAGAATGGCAAGTGATAGACTCCATAAACTCTGTAAGGCAACAGCAGCAACAAGGTAGCTGAGAAGAAAAGAATTCAGAGGTTTTGTTAATGTTGAGTGGCATCAAAGCATAAAAAGATGACGAATTTAGTTCTAGAATTGTTCAAACAGTGTGGATCGGATTATTGCATAAGGAATAATATCATATCCAGAGTTCTTATTGCTCATTCAATCAAACAGAAGAAACCCTAATTCCCAATTCTTATACTGCTACAGTATACTACGAGATCGATTCCATTTCTCCTGATTTTATTGCATCGGGGATACGATCTCCAACTTGCTATTTCAAATTTGGAAATTGGAATTTGAAATGTGAAATTGAATAGCTAAATGATTCAACAACGATTATGTGTTTGATTAATAGAGTTTCACAGCGACATTAAACAGTGAGATCGCGATTAAATAATGAAATCGATGAAGTAAATTACCAGAAGGCAGTGACGGAAGGAAAATCGCTTGTGGTGGACATGACAACGAGTGAGACAACTGCGTACGCAAATTGGAAAAAACGCAAGCCAAGACCACCGATCGTCCCAGGCATGCCTTGGATGACCTTCATCCTCACTATCGGTGGTACAATGACGCGGCCGTCAGTCGGTGGTAATGGTGCCACTTCAACCGGATGCACCGACGGGTGGCTGACGTTCATTTTACCCCGCCGCCTCCAACCACCACCTGTAACGACGTCTTATCTACCTGAACATCATCAATCATAAAAGAATTTGGTGATTTGATTCGCAGATCTAACTTTGTTAGGTGCAATTCGGAAATTTGATGCTCGTTGGTGAACCAATCGTAGGATTTTGAGACGATGTGAAGTGTTTCAATTTTTAAGAAGAGTTTGGGTATTAGCCTGCCTAAACCTAACTAACGTGTTTACAAATTTAACGCTCGGTGGTGAACTCGACTCTTTTTACTTTTCTTTAATTAAGTGTCCGATTGCAAATAAATAAGGAGAGATTATTAATTTGGGATAATGACTTAGAGGGTAATTAGGTTTCTAGTTTGTCCGTATTAGGTCACTAAGGTTTTTTTTGTGCGTATTAGACCAATAAGGTTGTTATTACCGTTTAGAAATAGTCATTTTTATCGGTTTCTTCCTGTTTAACCGGTAAAAATGACTATTTCTAAACGGTAATAACAACCATATTGGTCTAATACGCACAAAAAAAACCTTAGTGACATAATACGGATAAACTGGAAACCTAATTACCCTCCTAAGTCATTAACCCTAATTTTAAAGACATTGAGAATATATGACCATCAACAGTAAACTAGTTCGTTTAGAACTCGCGTCGTCCCATATCGACCAGAAGAAGAACCTGCTACTCCTCTATATGGCGAAGCTCTTCATTTATAGTCGTCCCTTCGGGGACATCCGATAAAATTGGAACGATACAGAGAAGATTAGCATGGCCCCTGCGCCCGGATGACACGCACAAATCGAGAAATGGTCCAAAAAAAAATTTAAACCCTTCGTCGTCTTCTCTGAAACCCTAATTCCCTTTTCAAATGCTAATAGAGTTCAATTGCAATTCTTACGTTTTAGTAGATGAACTACTGAAGTCATGATCAGACAACATGTGGATTCCATAGTCAGATTGATCTTCTTGTTGATGTCTTCAACCATTTGTGGCAAGTAAGGGTGATCTTTCTTGCTATAAAGTCTCCTTTAAGTTTTTTACTTTTCTTGTCATTAAGTTTCATGCTTTATAAACTTCCGTTTATGTGTTGTATATAGTCTGTATGTGTTTGTTATGTGCTGATTTTTTATTCATTTTGCAATTTCAGTTTCTTAGTTCATGTTGTGGTTTTGTTGTTTATAAAATAATTGATAATAGACATCCTTTGCAAGTCCCTGTTGGTTTTACATTTCCATTCGTTATCAAATGTAGACACTGATGGGAGGTATCAAAGTGAGATTGTTTTTGTACATATGGATGTGTTCATGTAAACATTTAAATGACAAAAAAGAATTTATTGATAAAATGTTGCATATTTATGTAATGAAGATCATCAATCATATGAGTTTTTGGACCTGGAAATTCTGGAAGGGTTGTGTGATAAGTTTAAATGGAAACAACTATTTTCAGTCAAACAAGTCAGTCACATTGATTAGTAAGCATGTTTTCTAAATAATTATGGTTAATAAATTAGGAGGGTAATTAGGTTTCCAGTTTGTCTGTATTAGGTCACTAAGGTTTTTTGTGCGTATTAGACCAATATGGTTGTTATTACCGTTTAGAAATAGTCTTTTTTACCGGTTAAACAGGAACAAACTGGTAAAAATGACTATTTCTAAACGGTAATAACAACCATATTGGTCTAATACGCACAAAAAAAACCTCAGTGACCTAATACGGACAAACTGAAAACCTAATTACCCTCCTAAGTCATTATCCCTATTAATTTGGTCGTTTGGTGTCTTTTTTATTGAGTGTAGTGGAGATTGGTCTAATTCGGTTAGCGATGTCTTCATTAGAAGTTTTGGTTCGGTTTTATATCCTCTAATGACTCGATTAACAACTATAAAATAGTTTCTAACCCATATAAATAAAGGTTATTAACAAAAATAACTTTTAATTTTTGGAATTTGAAAAAATAACCAATTTCTTTGTAATATCGTGTTCCATACTACATAGGTTCGTTACGGAGTTGATGGTGTTTGGTGTGATGTGACGTAAAAATATTCTGAAATCTGACATTGTACATTCTGGACCAACTTATTAAATTTTGAAGTACAGTCTCGATTTTTTAAACCCAACCTGCAACTATAAAATTTATTACTAAAAAAGAAGTTTTTATCTCCCAAATTAGTATGTAATCCAACTCCAAATCTTTAAGGTTTCTAGTTTTCTATTAATGAAATAAATTTCTATAACCATAGTTTTTTTAGAGTACCTACTTATAGTAAAGGGAAATGAATGTAAACAGACGGCTTTATGCAATATATTGCTCCATACTACACATGTTATGGTGTAGATTCAACCAATGATATCAATTTTTTTAGTTGACTAATTTGGTTGCTTCGAAATCTAGATTACATACTAATTGTATATGTCTGTCTTTTCAATGTCTTAGATCAAACATACTTATTCATATTATTGAGGATAATGATGTTAGATATTCTCTTAGTTTTGTAACTAGTATGTATTCTAACACAAAACAAGTGTTTGTAGTTAATCATGTTATGGAAAGTGGTGTCAATCAATTCACAAATAAATATGTTTTGGTGGTAATAGGTTGTCGAACACCGAAAATAACCACTGATGTACTTTATTATATATGACATTGAATCGGGTTCCTTGTTATGGTGGGGCATGTATACAAAGGTGATCTTAGGTATAAATAGACATAGCAAACGTGTTGTGTCGTGTCGGGTTAAGACATTAAACGGGTTGAGAGGGCTTGAACCTAACCCAATCCGTTTAATTATCGTGTTGTGTCGTGTCAACTTGTTTATTTTCATGTCGAGTTTCGGGTTAAGGTTTAGACCTTGTAAATATGTTGTGTCATGTTAGTTGAAACATTTTAAAGATTGTAAGTAGGAGACGGTAAGGTGAAAGGGAAAAAGTGAAACACTGGAATTGGGATGTGGAATGACAAAATTCATAGTAGGCTTAAAAGGCAAAACGAAAAGAGTTAGGGATGGGGAGCAAAGGGGATAGACAGTGAGGATTAGTAAAATTAAGTCACTTTGAAAGTTTGTATTTTAATTTTAATTTTTTATTTTGGCCCACTATACGTCTATAATATGTAATATATTTATCAAAATATGAAATTCATAAAAATGATATATAATTAAACGAATTGTAACGTCCGGTCTCTGGTACGCATTTATTTACAAATTATTCATTTTTATAAGGCTACTCGACGAGTTGGAAGCCCCGGGCTCGTCGAGTAGAATTGAGTTTTTGGACGCGGGATTTCAGCCACCTACTCGATGAGTCAAGAGCCCTCGACTCGGCGAGTAGATCTGTCAGAATGAAACCCTGATTTTGGGGTTTTGCACCCTATTTAAGCATCTTAATCCCCACCTTTTGGCCTCATTTCCAGCCTCCAAAGTCCTAAACCCTAACCCACAAAACCCTAGAGTGTCTTGTGAGTTGTGAGCCGTTCTTGAGTGTTTTGGTGTGTTCTTGAAGCTAGAAGAAGAAGAAGGAGCTAGAAGGTGCAAGGAGAAGATAGTATATCCAGGGATTTCCTTCCATCCTCATCACTTTCTGGTAATCAAGTCTCAAACTTGATCATTCATTTCTTTGATCTATTTACTTCCATTTTATGAGGATTTTGGTGCAAGAACCTTGGTCTTTGGGATTTGGACGTCCCAAGTGACTTATATTTCAGATCTGGGATCTAGGAGGGGTTCCATGGCATAAAGGTGCAAACCTTATGGCCATGGGAGCTCCATGCAAGCTTAAAAACGTTATTATGGCCTTTTTAGCCCTAAAAGGCCATGCATGGAAGGAAAGCTAGGAACTTTACGTGTCCAACTGATGTCCAAGGCCTAGATCTGTTATAGTGTGCTTTGGTTTAGAATATTATGGCTTGTAGACCAAGATCTATGTTCTAGAGAGTTAGGGTTTGAGCTAAACCCATTAAGAAGGACTAATAGCGGGTAAAGTTGGAAACTTTACCAAAGTGTATTCCCAGTGTGTAGGTGAAGTAAGGAGTTTAGTTTGAAGGGTAAGAGCTTAATTCATTGAGATGGCTCAATCAGACACAGGAACTCGGCTAGTCCACGGAGGGACTCGACGATTTTAGTTAGTTTGTCCCATTATAGCTTCAGGTAGAACTCGTCGAGTCGGTGAAGGGATTGGACGAGTTAAATCGGTAGATCGCGAATGTGAGTAGCCTGGGAACTCGACGATTCAGGGGGAGACTCGACGAGTTAGATCGCGATTTCAGGTTCTAGGACTCGACGAGTTGATGGAGGAACTCGACGAGTTAGGTCAACCAGAAGGTTAACTTTGACCCAAGCGTTGACTTTGACCAGGGGTAAAATGGTCATTTTAACATAAGAAGGATTATCAGATTTTGATTAAGTGTTATTATGAAACTGATAGTCGGGGAGTCGTCGGAGGAGCAGTCAGAGATTCCTCACTCGAGATTTCAGCAGTCCGCCTGACGAGGTGAGTTTTCTTCAGTAGGAAAGGGTCTACGACACCAAGGTCGGCCTGTAGTATGATATGTTAGTAGCTAAGTGTGGGCGGGGCCTGAATCTCATATTAGCCGAGTGTGGGCGGGGCCCGGATCTCGTAGTATTACTTTGAGTATAGATATGTATCTGCTTGATAAAATTAGATATACTTGTTGTCTGTGTGATACTTGTATGCATGTTAGACAGTGGAGCATGGGCGGGACCCGAATCTCCTAGACAGCGGAGTGTGGGCGGGGCCCGAATCTCCTAGACAACAGAGTGTGGGCGAGGCCCGAATCTCCTAGTTGCATGTTATGTATATGGTATGTGGTAGTTTGGGGAGACTCACTAAGCTTTGTGCTTACAGTTTTCAGTTTTGGTTTTAGGTACTTTCGGCAGCAAGGGGAAGGGCTCAGGATGATTGCATTACACACACCATTTGTTCATCCTGGGATGTTTATACTCTAATATTTTGATATACATTGATATGGTGTTTGAGATATTATGACATGTGATAACTATGGTTTTATTAATAATTAAAAACGAAAATTTTGGTCTGTATTTTTGGGATGTTTCAAGTTGGTATCAGAGCCTTGGTTTGAGGGATTCGGGCACACTCTGGGGTGTGTTTGAACTCAAACTAAGGACTTGATATAAAATTTTCAAAAGAAAATCATTTTTACAAAAAGAATTTTGAAAAGAGAAAAGAATTTTGAAAAGAGAA